ATTGCTCTGACGGTGAGGAAGCTTTTACTGATATCTAGTCTGAACCTGGGTTGTCTCAACTTGACTTGATTATTACGTGTCCTGCACTCTGGTATCAGTGAGGAGAGAGCTTGACCTTTCTCTTTGTGGAAGCCTTTGAGGTACTTATAGAGGAATATCATGTCTCCCCTCAGTCTTCTCTTCTCAAGGCTGATCATGCCAAGTTCTCTCGGTCTCTCTTCATACGGAAGTGTTTCCAAATGCTGGATCATTTTTGTTGTCCTCTGGGAACAGTATTCCAGATGAGGTCTGACTAGTAAAGCGTATAAGGAAACTATTTCTTCTTGTGATTTGGAAGTAATACTTATATTAATGCATCCTAAAATAGCATTTGCCTTTTTGTGACTGCATCACAAAATATAAACAATTAGTTTGCTTGGACAATCATATTTTGGTTTAATAAGAAATACTTGACTATGGAGCAAGTTTTGCTCCAATCCTGGTTTTCACGCATTTGTTGGAATGTCTGAAATGTGTCTAGGAGCAGAACCAGCACAGGTGTCAGACCTGGCAAGGCGCAGGGTGCACCCTCCACTGCAGGGTGGAGGAAGTGGGTCTGGGCGTGATCCTGAGCAGAGGCAGGTCGAAATGTGCAGTCAGGATGTAATGAAAATGCTGAAGACTCTTCAGGACCATGGACAAGTCCCAAGAAGAGCCAACTTGCTCTGACAGGGGCTGGATGGTAAATGACAGCTTGCTCCAGATCTTTCCCTGTTGCTGGAAGCTGTAGCTTCTTAAACAAACAACTTTCCACCTTGGAAGTCTACTATCTTCTCCCTTCTTGGTCTTCCATGCAGTGCATGACTTGTGGTGGTGAACAGACACTTCTAATTCATCTGATCCGTCTCCCTCTGAATCCAAGTCACTGCTGGTGTTCTAGACGCCCTGATACCCTCCAGATAGTTTGAGCTGCAGCTCTCATAATCTGCAGCCAGCATGGTTAATGGTTAGCAAGTCTGGGAATTATTTTACATAACATCTGTAGGGTATTGGATTGCCTTATCCTTGGCCTAGAACATGCGAACAGGCATCACTGTTCATATTTAGGAAACCTGGCAGGTTCCTGATCACATGGAGAGGTTCCTACACCTCTGCACCTGTAGGCATAAGCTTGATTCAGATGTTACAAAAAACAGTTATGGGTCTGACCTGTTTCTTAGATGCTGCTTCTATCTACAAGGGTCGATTTCCACAAAGAATAGCTTTTGAAAAAGGCACAGAGCCTCATACACAAATAGACCAGAACAAAGTGAACATCAGAAAGGTTGTTAACACTCTTAACAACTGGCAGTGTTTACTCTGGAAACTATTTAATAAAACAAATAATTTATTTTTTTTATTTTTTATTAAAACATTTTATAATACAAGGCAACATGGGTTAGTATACTGAAACTCTTTCAGTTATATTGCATTTCTGTGGTCAGAATTGGTGCAGGGGGCAGAATCGCAGTCCCAGTGTTCAAAGCCAGCCCTGCTCAGGTGCCCTAGATAGCACTGCCCTCTTCCCCCTGCCCTGCTCCTTTCCCCCCACCCCAATCATTTTGAATTTTCCTGGCTTTTGTAACATTCCCCACCCCACCCCATGTTCTGCTAAGCTTTAGTTAATGGCAGGAAGTGCTTTAAGCTAAAATATGTCAGTATATTTGGAATTTAGAGGCAAGGGAATGAATAAATATTCTAAATAAAAGGTGCTGTGCATGGCTAACAGCCCAATATAAGAGCCATTTCAGCTTGAGAGCTCGATTCTCATGCCCCGGGGAAGTCAGCATGAGTAAACCAGCCCCTGTTCTTCTGTGTCTTTGGAGAGGCCCACAGAAGTGACTGTGGCCTGAAGCACAACTATAGGAAGGTATTTGGGACTGTTCAGCTTAACGGAATAATGGACACTCCTTGCCTCTGGCAAATTAAGGAAAGAATCCCTGTTGCCCTTGTGCAATAATGTTGGGTCTGACCATCTGGGCAGCTTCAGTTGTGCTGTCGTGCCAGTAAAGGGAAACTCAGGCCCAGCTGCTACAAGCTTGCTTCACTGGTACCGTATGCTCTTGTGCACCTCAGCATTTAAGTTGACATGTCTGTCTGGACTAAGGCCATATCACAGGGCAGTGTTCACCAGGCTATGATGTAGACTAGATATAGACAAAAGAAAGTGTAGCTAGATTTCTCTTTCCTACTAATAAACTCAGCCGGATGTGAAACAAGAGTATTGATCGTAGTTCTAGGGTGTTTTTCTGTCTCAACATACATTAGGCCAGTGCCCTTAGTAGAGCTGCATTTTCATGAGTAGGAATAACTTTTCCATTCCCCCCCCCATGAATGAAACTCCTTAAGTGCTTCTCTTGTTTAGCTTTTCTTTTCAGGGCCCCATTTTGCTACTCTGGTGCAGGAAATACCCCTTTTAAAAAGGAACTTTGTTCTATTATCTCAGGAAATTGACTTCCTGATAACCGCCAAAAAGCTCCCTACATAAGCAATTTAAAATAACTCATTTTCTAATACCTGAGAGAATTTTTCTGGAATGATTTTCATGTAGCTTTATCTGCACCATGTTAAGCTCCCTCTCTCCAGCATCCCCCTTTCGCGAAGGAACACTGCTTTAAAATCCAGAATGGATTCTATCACCCCTCCATGGAGTTAGATCCGAACCTCTCAGGACCGCAGGGGACCCCTCCTACCTGAGTATAGCACATAATGATGTGATCACTTAGATTCTGTAACAAGACCACACAACAGACCTGAGCAGTCTGCTGCTCATCAAATGCAGCCTACCCCTGGCCATTGCTTGAAAGTGCTTCCCCACCACCACCTCCACCATTTTTGTAGTATTGAAGTTGGCACCAAAGCAAGAAGGTTTATGGAGCCCCTAGTGGCCATCGCACAAGGCTGGTGGGTTGGGTTTGGCTTGGGTCCTAAGTTGGCAGACCTGCCATATGACTGCATGCAACTCATGTCTGAGTATTCTCCAGTCATATCCCTGCAAGTGGCCCCTGGTGATTGCTGGCTGCCACCTGAAACAATATCCTGTACATTTCAGTGGAGAATTCATTACAAAATCAGTAAATAGAGTGCTTCAAAAGGCCTGAGAAAATCTGCCGGTGCAGAAGCATTTGACTGCATAGTGGGAGACCTGGGAGCATCTCAAGGTACCTTGGTGCCTTGGGAAAGGTACCGTTTCGGCAAGGTGCACAACCAGCACAGAGTGGTTGTGCAGAGCCTCTCATCTCCCTGGTGTTGCTCCAAATGTCTGCAAATCCCTCCACAGCTCAGAACTCCAGCTGAGACATCATAACATCATAATGACCTTTTGGTCATTCCGAAGTCTGAGCTACAAGTTAGTGTTTTCTTTCACGAGCTATTTCTACCTTTCCACTTCATGCCATCTATTCTGCTTTGTATCTGTGTTTTCTACTGCTGAGCCCCAAGGAAGTCATTGGAAGTGGAAATGAGCATGAATACAGATGCCAGCAGCACACGGAGGTGTGACTAATCCAGAAAATGCCAACTAGGCTGTTTCTAGATTAACATTTCCTGACCCCTCCTTGCCCCTTCAGCCCCTCGCTCCTCCCGAAAATCCTCTTTGGGCAGGGCCCTCCAGGACAACATGGCTGTGGGAAGCCGTGGGGAGAAGATTCCCCCCAGTTCAAACAGCCCTTGTAAATATGAGTAACATCCCCTTCCTTCCACAGCCCCTGGTACATCACCCCACATTGTTCAGGGGGGCTGTCCTTCAAAGAGGCTTTTGGGGGCACAGAGGTTTTGTGGCAAGGGGCAAGGGGATGGGAACTCTCCTTCCATGGCTATCCTAAGAATCCAAGCCAATGCCATATATACTTTAATTTATTGTGTATTTTATTAGATGTTGTAAGCCGCCCCGAGGCTTCGGCAAGGGACGGCATAGAAATGGTTTAATAAATAAATAAATAAATAAATAAATAAATAAATAAATAAAATATACTGACAAAGCAGTCATATATTTGTAATATTGAAGCCTTGTGCTACACTAAATGCTTTGTGCATGGTGAAGAGAAGCGTTATGGCCATCATAACTTGCACATAAGCATTAAGCGCGATCATATACCTGTCTTTTCTGCAGTAAGACTGATGGAGTTCATTGGAGTTTACTCCAGGTAAGTGAAGACAGTGTATCAGCTTTATTTAGCATGTATCTTAGCTAATAATTTTTACAATGACAACTCCTATCCCATTCTCTGATCTGATCTGTACAAACACATATGTTGGACTGGGCAGCTGGCAAAGAATATCAGAAACACACACACTCAAGCCTGAAACCTGAAAAACCTGAAATACATACATGCAGGGCATGAACCATCAGTATTCCCTCAGGTTCAGACTTTATGCTGCCTCAGATAACCTCCTGTTTGTCTCATTATCTCACTTTCAGAAAAAATAGCATCACATCTTTTATACAAATAGCCACATCACCTAGACAAAATTAATCTTTCTTTCTCAAAATGAGGTCCATGCTAGTCCTTGATTTCTTCTCCTCTCAAAAAACAAATGCACTACCAGCGAATATTAATAATTATAACAAATATAAGCACAGAAAGATGAATGTATGATGTGACGGTAAAAGGTGGGGGGGAGCGATGATACATTTTAAATAGGAAACCAAGTTGTTTTCATGCCCACTGCAGCCTCCTTCAATCATGCCATTGCTCTAATAAATCACTGGGTAATACATCATACATAACTAAACTGCTCCTGTTATTCTTCCCCCAAATTAGGAAAAGGTACTAAACTGTATTCATGTTTTCCTGTTGTAAGAGTTATATTTAATACTTACCTATTAAATCAAAAAGAGTTAAACAGAATATTTGAAGCAAAGAACAGAATAATTTCTGTACAAATGAGGCTGGGTGGCTAGATCTGTTAGAAAGTATGCATTTATCAGAAATATCACATCACGTCTCTTGCTTTGCAGATTCATATTGGAGTCAACTTACCTGCCCTTTTTATACACTTCATGTATTTCTTTTCCTTGCCAGGGAGCTCTGCATTCTGTAGATAAAACCAATCCCCAAAACAGCAAGAACATGCTAAACCTCATTTTATGGACAGTCCACATGATATCTTCCACTCTTATGTCCAAAAATAATCCACAAAAGGAGACGAAAACCAAAGCAAAGAGCCTTTACTCTTTTTAAGACATTATCAGTCTGTTCATTATTGGAAGGATGTTTACTCATACAAAAAATCATCCCGCAGTATTTAATCTGGATGGTGGGGAAAGCAATTTCCACTAAACCTATAAATCCCCCTACGTCAGATGGCATAGGGATTTTCGGGCAGTGTGGAATTCATGAATCTGCACAGAACAATTATTCATTTTTGCTTGAAATACGCTGCTGCATAAATTGGTTTAAAGCGAAGCATTTCAGGTATTTTGGGAAGATGACATTGATCATTCCCTGAAGGAAAGCCAGGAGAGAATGGCAGCTCAAGGGTTGCCTAGTGTAGCTCTGTAAACATCAAGAAAGGATACAAAGGTAACTGAAGCACCTGTTGATATGCCTATATATATTCTGCTGTGTATTATAGACCACTGCTTCATCCTTGCTCTGTGCATGAAAGATAATATTTTGATCCCCAGCCATTTTATTCCAAGAAAACCGATGCTTCTGGAGAGGTCACTGGTGATATGCTTTAGGGGGCATGTAGAGCTTCTGGCAGTCGCTTTGTTCCTGTCCGTGTGCCAGGCTGCTCAGAGCTACAAGGGGCCGGTAGGAAACAGCCAGCCATGGAAGCAAACATGTGCCTAGAGCAGGGGTCTCAAACTCAACTTACCTGGGGGCCTCTGGAAGCAGAGTCTGGGTGAGGCTGGGCCGCATCAAGAATTCCACCACCGCGGTGGTGGTGGGCCGCTCATCCCGCATCGCTCCCAGAGGCACTTTGAAGGCCGCAGGGCACCTCCCCCATGCCCCACCTGTCCCAGCAATTGGCCCGGGGGCCGTGAGTGTGAGACCCCTGGCCTAGAGTGACCTGGGCATCCTCTCTAGGCTTAGGTATTCTATTAGCCAGCATATCTTGCTGTTCTCATTTCAGGAAAGCATCTCAGGGAGAAATCCCACAGGGAAAGCCCAATCCAAAGTGTCAAACAGCTGAGGTAATAAGAATGCCCGATGTGGTAACTGGGGAAATGCTTAGGCATGCAGCAGAAGGTGTGGGACCAGCTCCAAGCGGAGACTGGGGCTGTGGCGATGTGTCTTCAGTGAGCCCATGAAAAGGGGCCCTCCTCATGGCTGCTGCGGCCCATTCACTTGCCTGTCCCTTTGAGCCCAGCATGCCAACCACCAGGTGGGAAGGGTCAGGTGAGTGCAGGGTGCTGGCCTGTGTGCAGGGTGAACAGGTGGAGGTGGTGAGGAGAAGGAGGGACAGAAGGAGTTGACATGGACCTTGGTAAGTGCCAACGATGTGGACCCCTGACCATTTTTGGTTTTCCTTCTGGACAGGTTGGCTCAGTTGGGTGTTGAAGGCCCTGCTTTGCAGTGGTTCCGCTGCTATCTGGCTTACCACGTCCAGAAGGTGATGCTAGGAGATAGTTGCTCTACTCCATGGTGGCTACTCGCTCTCATTCTCATTAAACCCAGATGAGGTGCTTTCTGTTCTGAACTGAGCTCAGTAATTGACTGGACGATGGCCAATAAATTGCAGCTCAGTCCAAACAAGACAGAGATACTCTTGGTGGGTGCAATGTCTGATCAGTTGCAGGGGTGGGGGGCTTCCACTTGTCCTGGACAGGGACACCCCACCGTAGAGGACAGCGTTCATAGCCTGGGGTAATCCTGGACTCAAAACTATCACTGGAGTCTCAAGCAGACTCAGTGGCCAGGAGCACCTTCCTTCAGCTACACCTGATTTACCAACTTCGGCCCTAGCTGGGCAGACAGAGCCTTGCCGCAGTTCTCCATGCCCTGGTAACCTCTCGGTTAGACTATTGCAAGACACTCTGGGATGCCTTCGAAGGAAGTCTGAAAACTTCAGCTGGCTCAAAATAGGGCAGCATAGCTGTGGGCAAGAAGTAACCCATGCTCCCACATTTTACCAATTTTATGCCACCTTCATTGACTACCGGTTGAAGTCCAGACCTAATTGAAAGAGCTTGTTTTAATCTTTTTATTTAAGCAGCATTTTAAATGTTAATACTATTGAATTTTATTTGGCCAGGGCGGCTTATTTTATTCTAATGTATATATTTTAATTGTTATTGTCTTAATTTATTTTTTGTGTATTTTTACACAATAATTGTGTATTTTATTCTATGCTGTGAGCCGCCCCAAGGCTTCAGCAAGGGGCGGCATAGAAATGTTTTAATAAATAATAAATAAATAAATAAATAAATAAAGCCATAAACAGCTTGCAACCAGGATACCTGAAGGACCGCCTTCTCCCATATACACCGACCCATTCTCTTAGATTGAGCACACAGGACCTTCTGAAAAAGTTATCCTCTAAGGAGATGAGGAGGATGGCAAGCAGAAAGGGCACCTTTTCTGTGACTGCACCCCACCTGCCTCCCTAGAGCAGTTTCCTTGGTGCCTTTATTACAGTCTTTTTGGCACCAGGCAAAAATGATTTTACCCTCCAGATAGTTTAATTGATTTTTATTGTAAGGATTTAAAAAAATATGATTTTAACTCACCATGCTTTGTTTAATACTCACAATTGTTATATCTGTTATACTTATAATATTGCATATATATGTATGTATGTATATTGTTTTGCTATTTATTATCTGTTTTTATTGTTATGATTGTGAACCACTTAGAAAGGACTATTGAAGTGGTCTATAAGATCAATCAGTCAACAGCAATCAGGAAGTTCTTCCTGATATTTGGCCAGACTCTGGCTTTCTGCGGCTTGAACCCATTATTCCATGTCCCGCACTCTGGGATGACCGAGAAAGATGACAGACTTCCTCAAAACTGAATATCATGAGGACGAGGCTGGACTATTCAAAATGAACTGAAAGCTGCCCTGAAAGCACTAGCAGGGAATAAAGCACCTGGAGTAGATAGCATACCAAAACAGCTGATTTATAGGCGACAGCAAAGCCTTTGAGCATACGCTATAGATGGTCCAGAAAGAAATTAGCGTGCCTCAGGACTTGATTGTCCGGATCATGGACAAGAAGCTACAGTCAGGGCAGAATATGGAGAAACAGGATGTTTTCCTATAGGCAAATTTTTTAAAAAAGGATGTATTTTGTCTCCCTATCCATTCAAACTGTACACAGAACATACTATAAGGAAAGCTGGAACAGAATCAAAAAAGGAGTGAAATTGGTGGAAGAAACACCACTAATTTAAGATATGCAGATGATAACACACTAATGGTAGAAGCAGAAATGACAAATGGGTCCCTGATGGAAGTGAAAGAAGAAAGTACAAAAGCGGGACTATAGCTGAATATTAAGAAAACAAAATCATAACTGCAGAAGCATTGCAAAACCTTACTGCTAATAAAGAAGATGTAGTAATTGTGAAACACTTCACATGCCTGGGTGACTGAAGCCAAGAAATTTGAAGAAGACTGAGAATTGGAAGGGCAGCAATGAAGGGACTAGAAAACATCACCAAGTGTAAGGATGCTTTACAGGAGACCAAGGCCAAGATCATCCAAAATATTGCAGTCCTAATCACAGCGTATTGGTGTGAAAACTGGCCAGTGCAGAGAGCTGATTCTCTTCTATGGTCTAGGGAAGAAAATTGATGTTTGAAACATGGTGCTGAAGGAGAGCTTTGCAAATTCCCTGGACTGACAAAAGATGAAAAGTGGGTCCTAGATTAGATCGAGCTAGAGCTTTCTCTAGAAGCAAACATGAGAAAACTGAGGCTGCCATCCTTTGAATACATCATGAGAAGGCAAGACTCACTGGAGAAGACGATCGTTTTAGAGAAAGTCAAAGGAAGATGAGACAGATTGAATCCCTAAAGGAAGCCACAACCTTGCCTTGGAAGAGCAGAGCAGGGCTGTCATGGACAGGACATTTTGGAAGGCGCTCATTCATGGGGTCATCATAAGCCGGAGATGAATCAACAGCACAGAACAGCAACACCAAAGCCCCACCGACTAAAGAGATTTCATCACCATCAGAAAAAGAGTTTCTTTAGATGTGGTGCCAGGCAGTGCAGCTGTGACCTCATCGGGAAATAAAATGCCAGAACACCCATGACCCTGGTGGTCCCCTTAAACCAGAACAAAAATAAAGCACAGGGAAATGTAGTCCAAGTGCATCTAAGCCTGTGTAAATCCCTAAATGGATTATATGCTGCATAAAGAAAGAGGAATATGCTAGACAGAGTACCGCCAGGAAGCCAAAATCTCCAGAGTGGCTCCCACAAAGTGGCCACATGCCAACTTGGCCTAACACTGCCTGATATTGCTTGGATCAGCCCCCTTTAAAGAGCAACCTTCAACTCAAGACAGGATGTTTACGTTTGAACCTGAAAATTTTACATCATTTGTCTTGTACTGGGCTCTTCTCTACCTGATTTTTGTTCCTGTGGCCAGGCACCCCGATTCTTCCCATTGGTTCTTCCACTTGCTTCTGCTTCACATTCCCAGATAGTGCCCAGCCCTGTCTATTGAGATTTCTAAATGAATTTTAATAAATATTTCTGTGTAACAAAATGAACAAGATTAAAAGACAATGACCCCATTTTTACCTCTCTTGTTTGCTAACTGAATAAGCAGTGGGAGACCTTTATCTTGGATTCAGGGAAATATTAATATTCTAATGTATAGAGGTCAGGTCAACTCAGTTCACTGAATAGTATGGAATAGTAAAATATGCCACTGAGGGCTAGGAAGCAAAGGATCAGAAGCACCAGAGGAGGAACTTTAATTTAGGCTTAATATCAAAACTATCCTGGTCAGCCTCCATTCTTAAACATTGCCCATGCAGGAATCACATCTATAGCTGTAACCGTGCACCCTGGCTGCTACGAATTGGACAAGCAACATGAACAAGTCTGCAGTGTGTACATTTCTTTGTGTTTTGTATATCCTGAGCTCTGTATGCCAAGATGCTTTGCCATTTGTACTGATATTTTACTGAGAAAGTTCAGTAAAATTTGGTCAAGCCTAGGGTGATGCTTTCCTTTTGCAGTTTGATTTCTTATTATCTTTGCTAAGTAT